TGTCATCCACCAAGTCCTAGTTCTGCATGTTGGGATATAAGCAAAAGTGGGAGGTGTACCGGATAAAAGAGTTGTGGCATGGGAAATTTAAAAAATGATGATGTATACACTCTCCTCAGTAAAAGGACCCTGAGAACATAGGGAAACCTAAAAACATTCCTATAACAGGAAAATAAGTCCGGGACTTGTGCATGGTGACTACAATACAATTAACACTGATGACTGAAGAAAATGATAAGAAAATAAGAAAGATGGTTATAACTCACAGGGCGCTTTCATCTACTGATTGCAAGGCTTACAGCCTTTAATTACCATAATTAAATACTGCTGTTATTTCTTGTGAAGCTGGAGCATTGTACCAAACAAATACTGAAGATACCAGCAGGGCAAGCAAGTTCCAGGCAATCAGAGTCAATCTTTAAGTCCCTGACTCTTAATCTTATGTATTCAGAACTACTTATAGAAACTACATCTGAAAAGCATAATTGTGCTCAATGCCAAAACCCTTTGTGCTCTGAAAAATCAAAACACTGTGATATAAAGAATGAAGCACAAATAAGACAAAACTGAAAAATGTATTTAGCTTAGTTATAGAGAAAATGTAAAACTCTGACTTTCCAATAGTGAGGAAAAGAATAATATAATATTTTTGCATAGTCATTATGTATACAGTTGCAGAGTTTCACATTTAAAAAGTTTTTCTTTGTAAATTTGGAAATTCTCCAGCAATCTCAGGTTTAATAATTTGAACCATAATTTGCAAATAAAAACCCACCAAGACTCTAGCCATCCAATTACATGAAACACTAGGTAATGTTCCCATTTTGATTCACTGACCATTGGATGTTTGTTTTCCTAGGGTGATATTTGTAATGTAATTAAAGTCTAAAATATAAGTTTGTCTTCTGAAACTAAGAAAGATATCAAGTATAATAAATATGTGTACCAGAATGTTTCTTGTACAGTAACGTGTGGTCTTTAAGAGTTTTTAAATATGATCTTAGAGTTTAAATAGGTCTTAAAATAACATATTCTAACTTTTTACCCAGTACACAAATCTCCCTTATAAATTCCAGAATGTGTTAACTGTTCAACTTCTGCCTGAAAACTACGCCCCTGTCCAAAGAAATAGGAAATCCTATTGCATAAGACAGCTTATTTCAGCTTACAATTTGCTTCTTTAGTTCCTATAAGGTGTTTGGAAACAAAGGAAACAAGGTATTGCACTACTTTATTATCATTTGTTGAACTTATATTTGAAGATGTTAACACATGGCTCAGGATAAATGGGGACAGAAACAAGTTGCTTGGTGACGAAAGAGGTAAGAGAGAGACCAAAAATCCACTACCACAGTCTTTTAAAAAATTAATAGATACTGTAAAACAATGAATCCAAAATAATAATTTGTATTTTAAAAAGTAAAAAAAAAATTAGTTATGATAATAATTTATAGTCAGGGCAAAAAATGCAAACAATAATAAAAAAATTAAAATGAAAACTTAAGAGTGCCACTGCTTCCCATTTCTAATCGTACCCTTCAAAGATAATCATTAGTAATTTTTTTGTAGATCCATGCAGATATTTTCTATGCTCATGTGGACATATCTGTATTATATATGTATTACTTGTACTACACAAATATGATCGCACTATACTGTTTTGCAAACGTGTTCACTTAAAATTATTTTGGGGTATCTTTCCATATTAGTATATAGGACTCTATCTTCTTTTTAATAGCAAATTACATGGTATAAATATACCATCATTTATTATTCAGATGTATATTGATGACATTAGATTACTTCCACAGTATTGTAATTGTTGTACAAAGAAAAAAATTATCTTCTGTAATTTCTTTCAATAATTTTTGTTCTAGAATCATTTGGAGTAATATGAATCTATCACTTAATAGCTCTTTAAACATTTGAAAATCATCACATATCATATGGGGAATAAATGAGAGAACACATTAAAGATTTGAGTCGTAATACTTTGGTATCAGAAATCAAGAAGGGAAATGAGTTCCTCGAAAAAAAAATCTAATATCTGACAACATAAAATCGATGCCTAAATTATGATGTATGAAGCTAATGGGATATTATACAATGATTAGCAACATGAAGACTATGCAGCATTATGACAAATAATGTTAAGTGAAAGAACACATGAAGTTGCATGTGAACTGAGATTAGCTATAAAATATGTCTGCATATTAAAAGGAGAGAAATATTCAAATGAGATGTAGCTGAGTTAGGGTAGTTAGAGTATGACATGGTGAAATCTTGTCTACTTTCTTGTCAACTGATCTATTTTCAAAATAAGTTTCCTTTTTTGGCCATCCCCAGAGAACATTTTTATTAATAACTTGGCAAAAATATAAAAAGGTATGCTCATCAAATCTTCCTAACTTCTGTCTGTCACCAGAACACTTCCTAACTGACTACTCTGTGGAAGAACTATGTTGGGCCCTGACATATGAGATACAAGGGTGAAGAAGGTACAAGCCTCATTCTCAAGTTTATAATCTGAGGTGGGGGATATGCAATTACTATTAAAAACCATTCAACAGATAATCATCAGTAACAGAATCAGGATTGAAAAGTATCTCAATATTTAATAATAACAGGATAAAATAACATGACATCTAAGAGGTTTAGGTGCTCTAAATCAATTATGCAACCACAATATGCAGAAAGTCTTTGTTAATGGTAGCTTATATAAAAAATATGTAAAGGTTTCAGCTGAGTAAAACTCCATAAAAGCATAAAAGTCGACTATGTAAAATGGCTGTTAAAATAGCTAATCTAAATTAAAGGAAATATTGTGTCCAGACCAAGGAAGATAATAATCCTACTGTCTCCATATCCAGAGTTATTGGTGCAGTTTTATGAGGCTCATTTTAAGAGAAACGAATGCTTTTGAGTTGTGTGTAACAGAGGACTCAACGGTGCTCCACGGATATGTAATCATATCCATATCCATATCCACATAGATATATATACATATATCTCAAATTTTGGCTCTATATGAAGAACAGTGAATTACCTTGAAGAGTGATACACTCTATGGCTAGTAGTAGTCAAGCAGAGATGAATGACTGGCAGTTAAGAAGCAATTCTTACACTGGGTGGAAATTTCTAACAGATCTCTAAAACTCTTCCTATCTTGGAAAATCTTGTGGCTATCTTTGTTAGCTGCAGGCAAGAACATTAAGAAGATAACACCCACTACAGTTTCTTTAAGAGCAGAGGAGAATCTTAGAAAGCAAAAAAGAGGTCAGGAATAACTAATGAACTTCATGTAAGACCTAGAAAGCTTTGTAACTCTTAGACAATTGTCAGAAGAGACACTGGGAGGTACACCAATGATGGCCAACCTGCCTGAGTATGAGTCAATAGCTGGCCTGACCACTACAAAAGAGCCCTCCTATTCCCACTGCAACAGATGCAAGTCTCAGAGGTTCCAGTTTTTCCTTGCTGCCTTAAGTGAATGGCGATTTTTTTAAGTCAACTTTCCTCCAATGCTCTACCTATTAAATCTTGTTTCCAGTGCATGGAGAACGCAGAAACTTCAAGAATCTACAATGTTCTGTATTTGGTGACATTATGAACCAGCAGCACAGGCATTACTCCTACATTAACAAGTTCGTGAGATTTTGTGGCTCCTTACTGAAAAGAGAACATTGGCCTGATTGGGTGGGTCTATTTGGAAGGGCTTGTAGAAGAAATCCTGAAAAATGGCCTGGTCACTTTCCTCTGGCCCACTCAAACTTCTAAGATGGACTGGATCTAGCATGTTTTTACCTGTGTTTTAGATTTGTGAGGCATGTACAAACATGTTTATCTTAAATAAGCTGTGATAATTATTACCCTGAAATTTATGAAACCAGAAACAACATAACAGTCAACTTTAAAATTTAGTTCTGGAAAGACAAGCCTCAAGTTATACATATGTCCAATGAACTCAGCTGCCAATCTTAAATCCTATGCCAGGAACACTATATTTAAGGATACAATCAATGAACAAATACATATCGTGAGCAAGAACTCATGTTAGGTTCAATGAAAGACAATACCCATCCTGGCCTCCCTAGGTTATGACTATGGCTGATTACTGCCATGGTCAGAGTATAAGATAACTTGAATAATATCCAGTGGCTCTTAAATAATTCTATATATCCTAGGAAGTGAAATTCAAATTCCTTCAATAGTACCTTCGGTAGTGGTACTTGAAATAAAAACCATGCTCACCCATTCACATAAAACTGTCACACTGAAGAAAGCATAAAGTAGAGGAACATCTACTAATGTCAAACAAAGAAACTAGCGCTGAAGGATTTCATCTTCTGCAAGAGGTATTTTATAGGCACGACCTCCTTATGGATGGATGGTAACATTTGATTAGTCAAAATATTCTTCTGGAAGTCAGTAAAAAATTAGAGCTTTAGGTAAAAATTAGGCATGTTTTAAAAAATTACAAACTTAATTTTTAAAAATCCTCAAAGGTCATAGGTATTATAATCATACTGATATGTCCTCCAAATTAATGAGAATAATGGATAAAAATGATAGTGTTTTGGTATTTCAGAACGTGTATTTTAGCATGTCTTTAAAACAGACATATAGTCTCAATATGGTAAAATATAGCTTACAAATTACCAACTCCTCCTCCTTTCTTTGGGTATACATAAAGAAATGGAAAGAGAATGAATAAACTACCAAAAAGCAAAACTCCCATACTATGTGTATTTCAGGTGGGTGAAAGCATTGAAAGGTTAGTTTGTAGGCACTGTAATGGCATCACAGGTCCCCAAAGCAACTTAATTGCCCCTCCAGGAGCCAGAGAGCAAGCGGCTTTTTAGTTGACTATATTTACCTATCCGGTGAGCAGGGGAGACATATGGTCTGGTAAAAGGGTAAAGTAGACAAGAAAATTTGCTTATTTTAGGGCTTCTGGTAAGCTATATGTTAAGTAAATGGAGAAAACAGACTCGACTTACCTGCACTGCCAAGCTGTTTATAAAACCTGTACTCTAAATGAAGCTGTGGAGCACGTGATTTTATTGGTTCCTGAAACCCAAGAAGAGATATTTTGATCAGATTTAGAAAAATCCATTCCTAGGTTTTCAGAGTAAACCAGAAATAAGAACACTTAATATTTTATAGATAATATACATATGTGATAGCATTTTCTTACCACAATTTCTCTTTGAAATGATGAAGCTGAATTACATACAATCCTTTCCATGGATAGTTAAGTAAAAATATTCTGTATGAGCCATCATTCAAGGATAGCTCTCTCATTATGAAATATTCTCCTGAAATGTAGTCTCTTAGGAAACCAGACGCCAAACCTTTAAATTAAAAACCAGCGTGTGTTTCCTCCTTGTTTTATTATGAATTTTGGGTGGTTATAGTTGTAGTATTTTTAGAGAAATGATATATGCTCAGGAAGAAAACTTCGGATATGTGAAAATTAAGAAGAAACTAGAAATAATGTGAGATCTTATTTTAAAGAGAAACATTATTAACATTTTGGTGAATGTCCTTCTAAATATTTATTTATATACATATTTATATGTAATATAGACTTAAAAATATTTTAAATAAATGAGATCATACTATATTTGCTGTTCTGTAATGTGCCTTTAAATTCAACAATGTGATGATGACATTTTCCATAGCAGTTAAGTAAAACTGTATATTATTTTTAATGTTTGTACTAGTCTCCTGTATGCACGTACACATGCACCATAGTTTTTTGACATTTCTACTGTTTTCAGTTTTCAATATTATGAACAATAACTGTAGGAAAATTCTTACGTATATTTAGTTTTACATTTAAGATAATGAGATAATATGTAACTTTAATCAATATGGTCAAGCTTGCAAAAACTGAGTTTTCTAAAGGCCCCAGAGATAAAGCAGCAAAGCTACCACACTTTGCTCTACACCAAACTTCAAGAATTGGCTAGTTAATTATTCTGAATTGACAGTATATCAGACAACTAGTTAACAAGAAAATCAAACATTACCCTAAAAGGTATATCTGCATACTCATTAGGGGGGCTATTATCAAACACACAGACACACAGAAAATAACAGATATTGGCGAGGATGTGGAGAAACTGGAATCCTTGTGCACTGCTGGTGAAAATGTAAAATGGTGCAGCTACTGTGGAAAATAGTATGGTAATTTCTAAAAAAAAATAAATTATCATATGACCCAGGAATTCCACTTTCCTGTTCATAGGAGCATTATTCACAATAGTCAAAAGGTGGAAGCAGCCCTAAAATTTATCAATAAATGAATGGATAAATGAAATATGGGTACATTTTGTTCCATACATAAGATGCATTATTATTTAGCTGTAACAAAGACATTCGGAAACATGCTACAACATGAACCTTGAAAACATGCTAAGCGAAAAAAGACACAAAAGGACAAAGAGTGCATCATTCCATTTATAGAGTGGTCAAATTCATAGAGACATAAAGTTGAATGGTGGTTGCCTGTGGCTGGGAACAGAGAGGAATGGGGAGTTAGTGTTTAATGGGTACAGAATTTCAGTGGAAGAAGATGAAAAAGTTCTGGAGGTGGGTGGTGATGGTTGCTCAACAATGTGAATGTACTTAATGCTACAGAACTGTACGCTTAAAAATGGTTAAAAAGGTACTCTACATATCAATTCTTTATCAGATATATGATTTTCAAATATTTTCTCACATTCCATGGGTTGCCTTTTCACTCTGTTCAGAGTCCTTTGATGCACAAAAGTTTTTAATTTTGATAAAGTCCAACTTAATCTTTTCTTGCTTGTGCTTTTTGTGTCAAATCCAAAGTCATGAAGCTTTTCTCCAAAGTATTCTTCTAAGTGATTTATAGTTTTAGCTCATATGTTTAGGTCTTTGATCCACTTTGAGTTAATTTTTGTATGTGATGTACAGTAAGTGTCCAACTTCATTGCATGTGGCTATCTAGTTTTCCCAATGCCGTATGTTAAAAAAACTGTCCTTTGCTCATTAAATGGTTTCTTGTCCTATTTTTAAGACAGGCTTAAAGGAAAGAGGAGATTCTACAGCTTCTCTTGATAACTCATGCTGTTGTTCAACAAATTTCATGGTAAGAAGGTCTTTATATGTAATTTAAATCCTCACTGCTGAAACTTAAGCCTATTTCTCTTACGTCCTCAATAACAGGATAAAATAGCTCTGCAATAACCTGTGAATACTAGGAAGGTTATCTTCAAATAAAACTATCCAATCATTTCTTAGATTTCCTTTATTCAGGTAAAGTAATTTCAATTTCTTTAACCTCTCCTCACTGATCCTATTTTTTAGCTCACTGATCACCTTTAAAGGCTCTTTCTGAACCCACTTGCAGTATTCTGCATTTTTCTTAAGATACAGGGTCTATAAATCACAGAATTCATAAATTTTCTTGAGATTGTCTAGTCTATTCTTTTGCTTCTAGGAAGGTTTTATCTAAATTGATTCATGCAGACTGGAAAACAGTAAGTCCTCACTTAATGTCATTCACAGGTTCTTGGAACTGTGGCAAAACAATGTATTAACGAAACCAATTTTACCACAAGCAAACTGATATAAACAAGAGTTAAATTCCTACAGCAAGTCATCAACATGATAACGAAATGACACTGAAAGAAAAGTTGCCTGAGGACCTGCTGTATTTCATATCCCCCTAAGGAACTCTATAAAAAGAGAACTCATACCCTTCTTTGATTGTAAAACCAGAAATTATTAGAGTTAGACTTCAAGTTTCTCAAGATTTCTGTAGTTGAAAGAAAAACACATAAGGCTAATTATACTATAAAGTCATTTCCTTATTTATTTTAGCTCTTCAGAGAAAGATCACTCCTGAGTCTCCATTTGGTTCCACTATATCACCATCAAAGCAGGCCATTGTAGGATTTGTCCTTTAGCAAAATCACTAATAATTCACAAGGAACCAAACAGAAATAGTAATGACAAATTAATATGAAACCAAACAGAGGTTAATCTAAACACTAGAAAAAGGAGTGTTCTTTCTGGAGAAATAGTCTTTGGATTCTGACAAACCACAAGGGACAACAGATCCTTCTTCGAACATAATATTCTCAAAATTTCACACTGGGAATATTTATAAGAAATATTTGATCTGATCTTGGGTAACTAAGTTAGCAGAATAAAAAAAGTAAAAACTCTTTAGAGTTATAAGGCTGAAAGTGGGCGTAGACATCACATATGTTCAGACGTGAGGGCTTTTTATCACAGATGGAAAGACTTACACCCTTCAGCACATAGTTTGTAGCCTGCTCAGTCAACTGGAGCTTCGAGGTGCTCTTTTGGAAGCACTATAAATAAAGGACATTGTAAATAGTCTATAGCTTGTGGAAGGCAGCAAGATTAACAGCATGGAGAGAATTTTTATTTTTTATTTATTTTTTATAACCATTAGAAAACCTCTGTTAAAAAGAACCGCAGCAATCTCAATGAGGGTAAAGGAGGGGCTCATTACACTATTTTGTTTATACTGTATATGATTTTTTTTTAAAGGTTCTTAGATATCCAAGAAACAAGAGCCCACAATGAAGGTCCAAACAAAGTAGAACTGAAACAGTACCAGCAGGGATTCCTTGTATTTTTATGCCAGATGCTGATTACATTTCTATAGAGGGCTGGCTATTTGCCAGAATCACAGATATTCTGAAACACACATGCCTGCCTGAAACCCTAAACCAACAACAAATGGCTACCCTGTAGGACTGTAATGCTTAAGGCCCATTTTGCTGTTGCAATGGAAAGAGCTCAATTACTGCCTTTATATCTCCCATGGAGAACAGAGACCAAGAGCAACAGAAAAGAGGTCTATAGACAAGATTGCTATCCTCTAAAAAGCCTTTATTTAAGATTTATTTGAAAGGGAAATGAGGTACTGAGACACACCATACAAGATAACATACAGTATAGTTTTAGCTTTAACTCTTGGCCATACGAAATAGGATAATAATTTAATAAAATGTAAGTGAAACGCAATGGTCAGTCATGTCAACAATACTTAATGCAAGTTTATCTAAATAGGTTGACTAGTATGAATCTGGAATGAAAAATCTAGATATAAGAATTGCCCTAACAGAAAGCTTCAAAAGAAGTCTTGATAAATAAAGGGACAATAACAAATACACAGTATTGAGGCAATATTTTAAAGTGTTTTAGGGGCTGTTTCTTCATCTCCCTAGTCCCATAGAATCAAAATTATTCCAATTTACCAAGGTAGTGAAACAGAAAAAGCAAAAACGCATATGAACTAGAGAACACTTTTACGTGTTCTCTAGTAATAATCAAATGTGTATATATTTTAAAAATGGTTAATCTTTTGATAATCAATCTGAGAAAATATCTGGCCTGCATTGTTATATGTATTTCACCTCTTATTGCTTCCCTTCCTCCAACAAGAGTTTCAAGCTAACAAACAAAACACTTGGTTTCCTAGAAGCTACCTGCTCTAAGCCCTGTTCCTGTACAGTTCTTCACCAGACAACTCTAACTCCTCCACAAACTGACAAGCTGAACAAGAGAATGGGAGCAAATCACAGAGCAGGTATGGATGTGGTAAGCCCCAATTCATTAGAAAAAACAGAATTCAATTGTCACAAGATACATTCTTTAACCCTTAACTCTTTTGTCTTCCAACGAAGCCCAAAATTACCTGAAAATCCTGAGAAACTTACTATGATTTAGTAGAACATTTATACACTTTCATAGAAACTAGTCATATGAAACATTCCATATGACTAGAAATGGCTCTGTTTAGTAACCTTAAACATAAGATAAAAAACTGTTTCTACTAAAATTGTTAATCCTCAAAAATAATGTAATTATTCTTTTTTAATAGGATGCTATTTTCAATGACTAGATTAATAATTCATAAGATTAATATAGACAGAAGCAATTAAACTCTGTTCCAAAGGACCACGTGATACGTTTTTCATATTTGGCAGTTTTTTAAGGCAATGATCAGATCTGGTCCTGTACTAAGTATATTAATAAATACCTTATATTTCAAAATTGGATCAGTCATAGTCAAGAAAAATGATACAATTTTCAAATGATTTTTCTTTTAAAATAGCACTGTGAAAGGTACAAAGTTCATAGAAATTACTAGTCTTCCAGTGATTTTTTTTCTTCCAGCTTTATTTTATTAATTATTTTTTGATTTATCATTGCTAACACTATAGTTAGCATCATCTAATGTCATGTAGTACACAGGGGAATCATGACTGTAACACTATATATATAGTTGAAGGTAAATGACCATGTGTGATCATATGCAAAGGAATTAAACATTAGCATTTTTGTAAATGCTCATTTTTGTAAACTATTTCCTGTCAAAAGATATGTGAGGCGTAAGAGCACGAAATATAATTACCACAAATATAGATTCTACTCACCAGTTTGATAGCTACATATTCATTGGTGTAGAGATTTTTACCTAGGGGAAAAATAAATATTTATGTTTTAGTGACATTTATTCTGAGAGATGCAAAGCAAAATCTTAGCTCACAGGGTCATGAGAAAGGTCACGTTCCCAATGCTATTCACATATATGAAACATGATTTATAAGTGAAAAGCTAAATGGAGATAATGAGACCCAGCAAAACAAAAACAAAAACAGTTTGAGAATTTGGAAATTTAAGTTAGGCACGAGAATTTTTTTAAAAAGAAAACAAATCTCTTTTTCTCTCACATATGCACATTTTGTTATTTAATATTTCCCAACTATTAAGCCATAAGGCAAACTAAGAAGAAAAAATGCCAGAATCTAAAAGATACAAAGATTTGAACTCCTGGCACAAGCACAAACCTTCATTTTTCTAACTCACTGACAAGTGGAGATTTTATATTTTTTGTCATGGTATTTAGTGTCAACTTTAGTTGGGATAAAGGACAGTGTGAAACAAAACCAGTTATTTCACTACTCACCTTTTGGAAAACTTATTTATTATATGTAATTAAATGATTCTCATAGCTTTTCTGACCTTTCATCAGAAACTATAGCTCTGTATCTTTACCTGTTGTGCAAGAAGGAAACAGATCTCCACCTGGACAACACTTAAACATCTCAAAGTTCTTCCTGAAATAATAATGATTTTTCCTCTCAACTTCTTTACATGTATAAATGGAATCAATATTCTCCTAAATATCTAGAGTAAGAACTTGTGGATGAGGATGAGAGCAAAAGCTATCACTTACTGAGCCCATATTACACGCTGAGTACTTCACCTCCCCACCCCTATTGATTCTTGAAGACTTTAATTTCTACTGTTTAGTGTATAACATATAGGTTAGCCACTGCACTGGACTTCACATTGCTTCTTATATATTTGTCCCATCTTAGTCAGCTAGACAGACTATAAATATCTTGAGGGCAGAGATTTTATCTAATAGTTCTGTCAATGCCTTACAGTGCTTAAGACCATGCTCTGCACATCTCGGACACCCAAAACCTTAACTGATTAAAAGTTACTGGTATGTATGACTACTTTTTAAATAATACATAGAGGTTAAAGTTATACTTATATATATACATATACACACATATATATGTACATAGCTGAATATATATGCATAGAAAGGATATAAAGTTATATACTGAGGTAGTAAAAAGATTCTTAGTATTTTGATTTTTATATAATATAGTTTTTATAATAAAAAAAAAAAAACCCACTTCATTTGGGAACAAAAGCTGCCTGCAATGTAAGTTCTTATTTTCACCACGCTCTAGACATCAAATGGCCCTTTGCAAACTGCACATTTATACTATTAATACAGACATCAGGTTGCTGAGTACCTTTATGAGTTGACGAGTACACTAATTTAAGAATTACTTTTGTCTGCAAATAAAATAATAAAAGAGGACTCACAGGATGCCAAACACTTAAGAAACCATTATAAGATGATAGGCACTTTTTCTCTATATATTAATTGCATTAATTCTCTGAAAGTTAATTTGTTTCTGATTAATGTCACCACAAAATTTTTTTTTTAAATTTGTTTGAGGCAACTGTGGAAAGGATACTAATAAGTGCGAGAGGAAAAGATGAGGTAGTAACAGCTAACTCCCAGGCAGATTAAAACTACAACTTGGCAACAGACTTTTTCCACAACAGATACTATGTTGCATAAAGATTTTTCAGAAGAGCCCTTCCTGACTCTGTATAAACACTGTTAGTGTGACCTAACATCAATTTTAGCACAGGGCTGACCCTAAGACTTTAGTATCCCTTAAAGGAAAACGGTCAAGTTTAAAATTATAAATATGTTTAGGGGTCTTTCTAAATTGAATACCCCTGTCCCAGTTTTAGGAATAAGAATTACTAGGGGTAGGGAAGTATGGACACCAAAATTCACCTCTTACTCATTTACAGTACAGCATGTCTTTGCTGTTAAAGGAGTAACTTAATATTTGGAGTACACGCTTAAAGTAACATCTTATTTCAATATATACAACCCTTGAAGTGAGCTGGTAGAGTAAACAGAGTAATAAACCTGGATTCTGATCTGTGAGCAAGAAAAGAGAGAAGGTAATTTCAGGAGTCTTAGGAAGGAAATTCTTATCTTTCTTTCTTCCCCCCAGCCACTTCCTCCCAGAGTCTTAAAAAATGAGTAGAATTTTAGATTAAAAAAGGGAGAAAGGCATCTCAGAGAGAAGAAGCTGCATGAGCAAACAAAAAATGAGAAAGTAGATGGTATAAGCCGAGAATGTTGGGTGGTCTGGGGGATAGATGGACCATAAGCTGTATCATGAGGATCAAGAAGGCGTAGAGATGGTCAAGGAGTGGTTAGGGTAACAAGGGAGACTAGAAAAGTAAGGTTGAGTCTACATTAGGAAAGGCCTCGATGTCAACTTAAAGTTTAAAATGAGTTGGGTAGTGACATGATAAGATCTATGATTTTGAAAAACCATTTGTAAGGAAGTATAAAAGATTGACTAGAAAAATAAGACATGAGAGGTAAGGGAAAACATTTGAATACTTATTACCCAGCACATATCAGACATCTAAGATGAGTGACACTCAGTTCTTTCCCTTCAGAGACTATATTCTAGCTCCTCAAACAGGGCCTTGTGGCAAAAAGTTAAATAAATCACATATATGAAGAATGTTAAGAGAGAAATATGAACAAGTCGGTAGAGAAGATTGGATGAATATTTGGGTAAAGTGGCATGCAAGGTGAGCCTTGAAGGACAAACAGAGAAAATAAAGGAAATTTCTCACAAAAAAAGTACTTTGAACAGTGAGAACATGATAGAAAGGAGACATGATAGAAAATGAACAGAAAGTGATATACTGAGAGTGGACTAATATGAACAGAGCACAAAGTATACAGGGAGAAATGGTGAGAAGTAAAGTCAGACAGAATCAAAAGGGACAGTGTGTGAATAACTGTGAATGTCAGCTTCTTACTGAGTTACGCACAACCAAAGGTACGTGGAGGTATGGCGGGGCATAAGCTATAGGACAAATAAAATATACTTTTCCTGGATACTTACTTTTCTCCGAGGATTTGGGGAAAATCTTTTTTTTATAGTAAAACAAACTTACTATATTATATAAATTGTGCATAAATTTCTTTTGAAGAAAAAATGTTCAAAAGAATCCTGGGCACTTATGGATCTGCTTCTTCCAGAGTCTAGGAGGGTGGGTCTCACTAATCAGTAACTTTTTCTCATTTCTCTGAGTTCAACTGGGCAGCCTAGTTTTCACAGTGCAGTTTACTTTCAATGGTGTGAACTTTTCATTGCCCATGAGGGTGGGAAAGGGTAGCTTTCAGGGAAGGCAAGGCCTGGGTGGAAGAGGATTTGGTAATCCAACTGCTTCACATATAGATCTGCGACAAGACTTCCTGTTTTTAGCTCCTGCATCCCAACTTTCCAAATTCCTAGAATCTCCGATTCTTGGGTCTATCTGAGGTATTCTGTTACAAACTGGCCTACTTTTCAATCATTCGGCATTCTCTGAACTGCTAAGTCAGTTATAACTTAACTATCTGCATTCCACTTTCCAAAATTTTGTTAACATTTCTCATCTGTTTTTATCTTCTCTTCTTTTTTTGGTTCTTTGGGTTTTCATGCTTTTTTTTTAAAAAAAAAAATCCCTTTTCTAAATATACTTTATAAAACTGAAGAGGCATCCAGTTCCATAAAATTCCACATATTATAATTAGTTTATGCATATATCTTTCCACCTCCACTAGACAGTAAATTTCCTGAAGACAAGAAGAATGTTTAACTCATCTTTTTAACTCTAGCAATATAGTATGTGATATATAGTAGGTAACAGATATTTGCTGAAGTGAATCAAATTGACTTGATATACAGAGAAGGTTCTTCTGAGAAAGTTCTAGAGCAACAAAAAAAGAAATCTGGTTTAGAATCAGATTACGGATAATCTTAAATGCAAATATAGGAGTTTCGACTCCATTTCAGCTGACTGTGAAACCACCAAAGGTCTTGTCCTAAAAGAAAAAGCAAAATGGTGAAAACTGTATTTTAAAAATACTAATCTGGTCCCAATATATAAGATAAAAGAGGATACCCAGAATAAGATGAATAAGAAGTTTTAACAGCAGAATGTTAAAAGAATAACATCTACCACATACAGTGTAATTATGAAGATCACAAGAGTTAGATAAGAATATATGAAAGTACTTTGTAAACTGCAAAGTGCTAGATAAATCTAATTTTTATTACTCCTATTATTATTGTAGGTATGAGGCAGTAATTTCTGAAAGAGAATAACTTAAAATAATAAGACATAATCAAGGCATTTTAAAGAACAAACTAACCACCTTTGGATTACATGTAAACGTGAGGGATAAGGAAAAGAGAAGGGTCAAAAATGCTCCTAATTAGTGGAGAAGACGAAGAACCAGGAGAGTAGGCAACAATCATTCCACTCCACCATGATGCCTTCCTCTAGGTTCTCACTAAATCTAAAATAACGAATTATGAAATGACCCTCATCTTCAATTTTCATATCTATATAAAAGAATATAATCTCAGAAATATAATAAACGAGAGCCTGTGTAACACCAAACATGATGGCTGATACATCACAAAATGCTAGCTTGCTTGTGTTTGCTTATTTTCTCTGGCGGCACCAAAAGAACAGAACACATGTCACCCTCGTACAAAGCAATTATCCTTACTCCTAAAAGGCACTGGAGGTGACTGGATAATTCTCCTGAGTTAAGCATTACTCGAATGAATTCTTTTGCCAGGGAGTATCATTAAGACTGAACAGGGCAATACAAAACGTAACCATGTTGGAAAGCGAGACAATCACTCAGCCACTATCCTCAGTGATAAATAGCACTCAAAAATTTTGTGCTGGAAGATTTTAATTACAAAGATAGAGAACTAAAATTCGGGCCATTTAAAATGAATGACTTCTTCAGCTAAATATGGATATATATGAACATATATATAT